ACAGTTGGACCTTTGACGTATAGAAGATAGACCTCACTGCTCCGAGTAATTCCACTTAGGTCAGCCTCTCTCAGCAGAAGTTCAAACCGCCTGCTGAGATGGTCAAAAGTACGAATTCCGTATCTCCAGTAACGATCCCCTAAAAAAGGGCTCACTGACGGAACGACGCGTCGGTGAAACAAACCCACAACTTTCAGAGTACGCAGCGAACAACTTGAACACTTTGTCACGGAGACCCTTGTGAAAGAAGGCAAGGGGGTGACTCCCACTTCCCTCTGGGCTCCGTGCACTGCCTCAGAGTTCTTCCAAGAGAAGTAATCCCCCCTTGACTCCCACCTCACTCTGAGCTCAGTACACCGCCTCAAAGTTCTTCCAAGAGAAGTAATATCCCCTTGACTCCCACTTCACTCTGAGCTCAGTACACCGCCTCAAAGTTCTTCCAAGAGAAGTAATATCCCCTTGACTCCCACTTCACTCTGAGCTCAGTACACCGCCTCAAAGTTCTTCCAAGAGAAGTCATCCCTCTGTGACTCCCACTTCCCTCTGAGCTCAGTACACCGCCTCGAAGTTCTTCCAAAAGAAGTCATTCCCCTTCTCTCACCATGCATTCATACTCAATCTAGACTGGTCGAGGATTTCCCGTTTAACTCATACATTTTACAGAGTATTTCCGGTTTAACTTATACATTTGACCGGGGCCGGATTTTGTTTTTTCAATTACCTTGGCTTCCAGGTTGACCTAGCCTTGAGAGGGTACCATTTACAGTCCTGGGAAGTAAAGGCAGCTGGTGTGATGCTGACCACAACACCCAAGATGTGCCGTTTTGTCTATACAGTATAAGTCTAGCCTTATATACCCAATACGCCTGAAAGGCGTGGCAAAGGATCCTTTACTTCTTTACTTTACTACTGTAATAGACACTTTTTGGTGAGTACCGGTACCCGTTTAGACACGTTTGGGTAAGTACTGGCAACTTTCCTCTAGAAAAATAACCCTAAGACCTACTGTAACTTTAGCCGCCATCTTACGACATGTTTGTGAAGGTGCCGTGCTACTCATCTGTGCTATGAAAGACGTTATTTATTTACCAGTTTAAAACCGATATCAGAAATATCAAAAAGGCTTGATCACTCCCTTTATAATATTGATCACACTAGCATCTCTTCAATTCGTCGCTTCCCACGCAATAAAGGTTTGTTTCGTTAACGCAGCGTGTAAAACGATTCTGCGCCTTGCAACAGTTAAACCTGGACACATGGCAGTGATAGCGACCCTAAGTCTATCGACGGAATTAACACCGAAAGGGCGTTCAAGTAAAACTAATTAATTAATCATTGAACGCGTCAACTGTCCAAGTACTGTATGCGTTTGCAATCACAACCTGACACCACCTCATGCATGATACAGTGCAGACCGCTTAAAGTGGTCTCGGATTGGCGAATTTCTCTTGTGAAGAACAATTTGTTTTTCCCCGGCAATATTTCTAGCTTGAACTCTCATAGGTATAAGGTGAATTTCTGATCAGAAGACCCATTGCTGGCGTACCTGGTGAGTTCTCCTTATCAGGCTTGCATTGTATCAATCTGAATAAACTTATGATCGGGGAATCTTGAACACTATCATTAGAATTGTTATCCCTGCAACAACTATTTTTTTTTTAAACAAAAAATAACGACCTTGATGCTGCTATTTCGTCCTATTCCACCATGTTCCTTGTTTCTACTTCTTTCTTCCACTGACTCACATTTTTTTCCCATTTATCGAGCCTCTTCTCTCTCCTATTCACCGGATGTGTACTCCGGTGGAAAGTCAAAGTTGTTCGTGCATTTCTGAACTTTAACCTGGTTCTAGAATTTGAGTTTTGCATGCACATCAGTTTCAGTTTTCTATTGGCACAGAAACGGAACAATTATGTTATGTTATGTTATGTTATGTTATGTTATGTTATGTTATCATGTTTAGACTTCACTGCACATTGGGCATTCCTATGCGTCCTCGGTCCCCAGCCGTAGCAGCCACTCCACATATACACACACACATATAGAAAGAAAGAAAGAGAGAGAGACAAAGAGACAGGAAGAGAGAGAGACAAACACACAGCGAAAGAGAGAGAGAGAGAGAGAGACAAAGAGACAGGAAGAGAGAGAAAGAGACACACAGCGAAATAGTGAGAGAGAGAGAGAGAGAGAGAGAGAGAGAGAGAGAGAGAGAGAGAGAGAGAGAGAGAGAGAGAGAGAGAGAGAGAGAGAGAGAGAGAGATCTTGTCCGTGTCTAAGCCTCTATTAAAATGTTGAGATTGCTCATTTTCGTTGCCAAATGATTGTTCGCCATTCTTACGTAAAACCACACCTCCGAAGCCTCAAGGGATCTGTTTTTAAGTTGCCTACTAATTGTCCAGGGTTCACTTGGACATGTTCAAATTAGCCCTCGACATGCTTCTCGGTGTACTGGCTCTTCATTGAACGAGTATTATTTAGAAACCGGAAGTGGAAAACTGAGGCCAGATATCGTGTCACTCTAAAGAAGTTAAAAGCTTACACCTCTCCATGTGTGTGCCAGGTTGTACTTTAGTAAAGTAAAAATTAAGAATTTTTTTTTTAAACGCCATTTGCTCATAAGGGCATTTGGTGATAGATATGTATTTTTACAATCATCCAGCAAAACAGCAAATGACTAATGGTATCCTTATCCCTACTTAGCTAATCAGTGCCAAGCATGGATAATAAGTAGGTTACTAGAACAGCAAAATAACTACATATGAAATGCGCTGTCTCCGCAAGGTCACTAACAACACCAGAAGACAGCATTAGAGAGAAAGTTGGAATAAGACCATGTCTAGATTATATTGACAGACAAAGAATGAAATGGTTCGCCCATCTAGGGAGAATGCAGACAGGCAAAACTGCATGTGAGACTTTTTACAGCAGAACATCTGGGAGGGAGACAAGAGGAAGACCAAGTAAGAAATGAATTAATGGTGTAACTGAAACCTGCATAAGAGAGGAACACATCCAACACACCAGCCACTCGCCAGAAGCGCAAGACAAATACAGAAACCTGTGACAGTGGGCTACAACCTGGTATCAGTGAGACAACAAAAGAAGAACAAGAAGACCGACCATTTAGAACTTGGTGGGTGACGTGGTCATCATCACGCCGGCTACCTTTACTAATCAAGAAATTACCGGGTACCCGTTTTAGACTGGGTCGACCTTAAAGTCATGATTAATTCTGAGCCCAAAAATCCGCTTTGATGTGAATCCAAACCAGGACCGGATTTCGACTCAATGTGACCCTAAGATATATAAATCCCCGAGGCCTCGAGCGTGTTCATTTGCACTAGCTAATATAAGAAAACATTAAGATGTTTGCCATTGTAAATAAGCTACAAGTTAAAATATTTTAAAACCTAAGATAATATATCAACAAATTATTTTGTTAAAATTTCAGTTTCAGTTGTTGGTTGGGGAAAAAGGGTGGGGGTGGGGGTGGATATATTAAAAGGAAAAAACAAACAATGGGAGGCCTCTGCACAATGTGAGGCCCTAACATGTAGCTTATTCGAAAAAAGACCGTATTCTTCCAGCTTCCCCCTCTTCGTCCCTTATAAGAAAATTCTTCTGCAGTTATTTTTTCTGCTGCTGGTGAAGGTGCTGAAGCTATTGCATTGTCAGCTCAGTGTGTGGCACTGTGTGGTAGCGCGTAGCTCGAACCTGCCAGGCGTGGTTTCCTAAGATGCTTTAACGTTTGGAGGCAAAATCATTTGAAAAATTCGTTCGGATTCCAAGTTGTTGGAATTTTGAAACGGTCTTTACTGTTCGCTGGTCTTCGGTTCAAATACGTATGGAGGGGAATTTAAACAATAATATTGGCTCCCAGCTCGAACCAGCTTTCACTGAGTCCCAGGGAACTTGCCGCCAAACAAACGCAGCCTGATTGAGTTGACCAGATGGAGTGCCAGATGGGATATTACAAAACAAAATAAAATTGGCTTATCACTCACTAAACATCCGGAAATCCGGTGGCCTCGAAAGGGTCATTGGTCTATCAAATATAAGTCTCTTACTATATACCAGACAGTCGCTGTGGTGTAGCGGCTAGATGCTCGCCTGCTGATAAGAATGTTGTAGGTTCCGGTCCGGGCAGAGCCGATTCTTTTTTTCAAAAAATAACCTTGGCTTCCAGGTGAACGCAACCTTGATTGGTTACCAAATGCAGTCCTGGGAAGTAAAGGCGGTAGCTTGATGTTGACCATATTCCCCCAACAAGTTACGACTGGTATATAAAACATAGGTCTTGCCCTATACGCCTCAGGTCGTGAAAAAAGGTCATTTACTTTTTTGAAAACAAAATGTCTGAGAGCTAATGGCCTCGAAAGAGTGCTTCAGATTATCTGACATTAGTTCACTCTAAGGTGGATGGAGTTTTTCTGTCGTGGTCAAAAATAAACATCATAAGCTTCCCAATCCGTTGACAGCACTAGTCATGGATCCCTTAATCCTCAGACTCATTTCCTGGTAGTTACATCCTTTGGATATTTTCCCCAGGTTATGCCGGTGTTTTGGGAAATGAGCAAGCAGATAGACTGGCCGGCTCTGCACCACTTGACTGTGAACTGATGTATGACAACTTAGATTTTGTGAGGGCCCTTTGGGAACGAGTTAACAGTGCGGATGCGCAGATAGATCATTACGGTCTGAGAAAAATGGCGCTGAGAGTAGTTGCCAGGGGATGTGGCCGACGCTGAGCCCTCAAAAAAAAAAAAAGGGGGGGGGGGCGACACGGATATACAATCAGACGTCTACTGGTGACATCGGAACTGGAACTCTTTGCTTGCTGCTGAAGATGGGGACAGAGCACTTTAAGGGTGTCCCGAGTGCTGTGATGTCGATTCTTAATTCAACATTCTACTATAGAGGGACTCAAAGTACAAAACAAGAGCAAAACAAGTACATAAATTAGAGTGTCAGAAATAGAGTCTAAAAGCAAATATACTCACCCCATAAACATAACAACCCCAACTCTCTCAATATCTCGTTTGATAATGTCCCAAGTCTGTTGCACGGTTACCTGACACTCCGCCGACAATTGCGGCCGATTTTCCGGAACGTAGCGGAAGCTCGGGAATGTCAGAGCCACTTCTACTTCTTCTTCTTCGTCGTCGTTGCATAGATTGTTACATTTGTTTTGTTCTTTGACTTTTTCTGAAAACCCTAACCTCTCCCTAAGGTCAGTTGAACAGCTCAGTCCCATTGTGTACTTGTCCAAGGCGTTTCTGGAATTCTTGCTGCTACAAGTTTCCAACCGACAAATATCCGGAATCGCAGACCAAAGATATGAAGCACATCAGGTCTCCGCTAAAAAAAATGCATTGTCTTTTTTAAGTGAGTTCGCGTGATCTTTGCTCACAAATGCTCATGGTGATGGGTGTTTCAGATCAATAGACAGGCATCAAAGCAATCTGGGGAAAAAAAAATTTAGAAGGAAAAATGCATTCATTATCATTCATTATTCAATCATATGTATAAATATATTAAGGCATATATGCTAAGTCTAGTGAATTACTCAAAGATAGATGGGTAGAACATGTCGAGGTCGGGCTCTTCCCGTATATAAAGATGTGCGCAGAGTGGACGTCAATGAGACAGTTGTCGAGGTTGATTCGTAGGGAACAAAATGCCATGGACCGTGTTGCTTGGAGAGGGAAATCATGAAGGAAATATTCGGGTAAAAAAAAAAGATTCCAGATTTGTTGAGAGCAGCGCATCTGAAAAGAATCACATCAAAAATCTGTGATGGTAACGACTCTTTTGAAATCATATCCTCTAACCGTGCGGGGTCCGTGGTGTAGGCGTTGCGAGTCCGACTCGTAATTCCAACGTACCGCGATCGAAACCCACTGCTAGCTGCATTGTTTTTTTATCATGGTGTGGGGCGTCGCAGGTCGAAACAGCCTAATATGGGTACCAGGATGGCTTTCCTGGGGAAGTAAAGACGGCCCGGATAAAGCTGACCACATAACCCACTTAGTGCCGTTTTGGTCTGTAAAAATATGGGTGAATTTCCCATATGCCCGATGCGCCTAAAAGCATGAAAAGGGATCTATACTTACTTTACCCTCTAACCGTGGAAGACTGTCCTTAACCTAGGCAGGCCTTGCTAGTCGCATTCGCCAAGGTGAAGGGGCTGAAATGCCTGTTGCTCCCAAGAGCACAGTATGACACTATCGTCTATCAAGATGGAAAGGTGCCAAGTAACGAAATAACTATCATACCACTTTGGGTTTATTTAGAAGACCACAGAAAGCAATGATAAGCTTCTAGATTGTGACGTCTTGTATGTTGAATGTTAAATTAAGAATCGAAATCACAGCACTAGGGTCACCTCATAGGCGCTCCGTAGCCATCTTCAGCAGCAAGCGAAGAGGTAAAATTCAGATGGTATCAGTGACTGTCTGATTGTATATCCGTTTCGCCTTTCCCTGAGTGTTGCGCGGTGAGACGGATATACAATCAGACAGTTACTGCTACCATCGTCCTGTAAAGGATATACATCTAAGATCTAAACTGCCCGTATTTATAAAGGCGGCCGGCGTGACGTTGACACCAGCACTGATCGATGGTCTATGAAAATATGAGTCTCGCTTTATATGTCCGATGCCCTTCTGGCATGTAAAGAGACCTTTACTTGACCTTTAATTGAGGCATGAGGTGCTTAGTAAGAAGTAAAGTTCATTTGTCCATGCCTTCAGTCGTATTTGTAGACCTATCAGCACTTGGTGAGTAATGTGGTCATGTTTTTCTTTCCGGGACTACTCCTAGTACCCACTCAAGACTGGGTCCACCTGAGAGTCAATGTCCTTTCTGAAAAACGCAAGGTTCCGTCAGGTCTTTAACCCACGACTCTCCGATCGGCATGCGGGTGTCTAGCCGCGACGCCACGATGAAAGGCCGCTTAGCAGCAAGTGAATAATATAGAACAGTGGTTCTCAGCATGTAGATCGCGACCCTTCAGCCTACGACCATAAGAAATCACATTTTATTGAAGTTATGAACTTGCAAATAAAATATTTGTATTCTTGCGGGTCGCCACAACATGAGCTACTGTATTAAAGGTTCGCCCATGAAGAAGTTTCAGAACCACTGGTGTAGAGGCACACATAGATCGTCGCGGTCCGAAGAGACTCTCTCGGCAGGCGGTGACCAAGGGATATGGTTAATACCTGCCTGAAACAAAAGGCAAGCTGTCTGTTGGAGATTGAGATTTTTTTTAAGTATCTAGGAACCATGAGTTGTAAACCCTTTGGCTCGATACTATGGATATCGCAACCCTTCGGCCTTGATTCCATTATAGCTATCGTTAATCTGGGAGAAATGTGGCTTTTCTGCCTACCCCCGGGAGTGAACGCGGTCCGCAAGGAGTTCGTCACCCAGCCGCCGCGAAAGTCAGATTTAGGCAACTACGCTAGAGAGCCGGTCGAAGATTGTAACGAAGCGGTCTAAACGGCTGGCTACCTTGCTTTGCTAAAAAAAAAATTGTCACGTTCAACCAGCCTCCCCGAAGAGGGAGATTTTGGTTATAATTGTGACTAGGTTATTTGCGCCATATAAAATGGCTCAGCATTGCTCGCTACCACTCTTGCAGTGTTGGTGCATCAAAGAAAGCAGACCCGAATACTGTCTCGACCGGCGACGAAGTCATCTACCGTCCAGCCAAATGGCGACCCGGTTACCGATTGTTTTAAAGCACCCTTTCCCACGCCATTAAGCAAATTTGACAGATAAAACGAGGCCTATATTTTATAGACCTTCCCAGAACTTTGTAATAATTGTAGGCTGGGTCGACCTGGAGCACTCGTCATTTTTTGAAACAACCCGGCTCGATGTGGATTTGAAACTACAACTTTCGACGAGGGTCAAGCTGCTACACCACGGCAGTTGCCTATCGTCCTCAGCTCAGACAAAAAAGATGTAAGTATAACTATTTGACACTTGTAACTGTATTCCATAACGGTGCGCTCACAGTCGCCTCACTGAGCTATCACTGTACAATCATCTTTATCTTCTCGGCAAAAAGTAGATTACCTTTAATCCTGAAAAGTGTATCCTTCTCGCCACAAACCAGTTAATCCTGAAAAGTCTATCCCTCTGGCCACAAACCAGTTTACCTTCAACCCTGAAAAGTCTATCCTTCTCGGCACAAACCAGATTTTCTTTTATTCCGAAGAGCTGAACACAATGCAGAGATACAATGCAGACATCGATGGCGGGCAATGATAAAACATGCATGAGGACTCAACACAAGTTAATTGCTTCTTTGACCTGTCTGTAGGAAAATAGCAAGTGCACGGCTTTTGCGATGCTGTGGATTGCAATATAGTACTCACAATTTGGCTCGGCCCCGAGGAAAAAGTCAGGGAGGGGGGAAAAGGGGGGGGGGGGAGTTACAGTTTTGAGACAGGGTTTATTTGTACTAGTTGTTGTTTGTTGTTTACATTCACCGGTTATAAACTCCAGTGGAAAGACCTGGTTGTTCATCCATTTCTGGACTTTGACTTTGTTCCAGGACCTGAGTTTTGCGTGTGCATCTGTTTTACAGATTTGACTTATTTGTATGCAGATTGTTGGTTTCTTGCCTCTCAGGCAGATGCACTCGGACTTCAAAGGAAGCTTCCAGTTAGTCGACTCTTATAACATGCTTTTTGGGGAGGCAGTGGATCTATTCTTGTTTTCCCTACAATAGGGCCCCCGAAACCCACACGGGGGTATTTGTACTTGTAACAGTCGGTTATACTAACATGCATTTTAGTTCAATTACAAATAAAAAAAAAAATTCTTTTACCTGTGTAACTTATATAAGAAGACACGTTGATTTCTGAGGATATTTTTCTCCAAGTTCTTTAAATAGTTCCCGAGATGTTTCTTTTTCATCTTTCTCTTTTAATCATAGTTTTGTTTTAAATAAGTTTCAGGGGCGGGGGCGATGATATGTAGGTTCTGTCACATATTAAAGTGGGCGTAGTTCAACGTTAGTCTCCCCAAACAGAGTAGGTCACTTTTCATTCACAAGTTTGTTAGTCTTGTCGACTTTCATGAAGGTTACGGGTGTTTCCCGCTCTGCTGTTTTGTTTTTGCGATGTCTTGGATTTGCGTTTTCATTCCGAAAAAGAGAATGCCTGTAACATAAGTTGCAGCACTCTCTTGGGGAGGGGGGGGGGGGGGGGGGGGGGGGGTTAGGACTCAGTTTTCTCTATGTTTTTTAGAGTTTTAAAATATACAACACGCGATATCAACAGTATTGCAGAACAACCCCGTAACCGTGCGAGATGTTACCGGACTCAGGAACTACCAATCAGAAGTGAGCTAGTGTGTATATGGGCGGGGTCTGAGGAGACTAACATCAAACTAACCTAAAGTGAGGGTGGCGGACGTGGGGGGGGGGGAGGGAATGGGCACTAGTATGCAGGTACTGTCATATATAAAAGTGGGGGTGGCGAAGGGGAAGGGGCGCACATGAAATTGGTTGAAAACCACTGAGCTAGACAGAGAAGCGGTAGTGTAATTGTGCCAGGGTGCTTCCGGGGTACTTTTTCGTGTAACCCTGGTAGGCTGTGCCCAATATACTGTGTGAGAATAACCTGAAACAGTGGTGTTTCTTACACTGAAATAAAGTAAACCAAAAGCGTTGGTTATCAAGGTGAGAAAGTGTGTGCTTGTGTGAAAGGAGGGGGCGCGCAGGAAAATACAGAGAAAGAGAAAGGCTAGAAGGGAGGAAAAACAGTGAGAGAGAGAGAGGTAAAAATAAAAGACAGGAGAAAGAGCAAGGTAGAGACATAGTAAATGACAGATAGAAAGAGAAGGAAGCAGAGGTTTATAAGGATCTGGGACGAGTGAGGGGGAGATAGGGGAGTCAGATATAGAGAGTGTGAGAGAGGGAATAAGTAAGTAAGTAAAGTAGCCTTTTCCGCGCCATTAGGCGTATAGGGTATATAAGGCTAGACCTTTATTTCATAGACCAAGTGGCACAAAATGAGTGATGTGCTCAGCAGGACTGCACATATGCTGTGCCCATTTTCGTGTCGGTCGGCCCCTGTCCCTCCTTCCTGGTACCATGCCTTCTACTATAATTTTGTCCAATCCGTTGTGGCGTTTGATATGACCAAAATATTTCAGCTTTCGAGACAAGATGCTGTTTATTAGCCAATCTTCCTTGACATATAAATTACATATAAATCATATCTGGTCGTTATCTGA